GGCCTATCTATCTATCTATCTATCTATCTATCTATCTATCTATCTATCTATCTATCTATCTATCTATCTATCTATCTATCCATCTACTCCACTAAACGGAGACAGATCCTGAAACTGAATTCCCTGGTGTTGACCTAGTGAAGAACCTCTTCCTCAGTATCAGACAAAGAAGCTGCCTCCATCTCTGGTCCATATCAGAAACAGCAAAGTGGTACCACCGGAGGTGCTGTAAAACCAGCCTTTTGTGGGGGTGAACGATTGATCTGAGTTCTGTGGGAGAACTCACAAGAACCAGTAGAGGATCCGTCTGTGGAAGCTGAGCGAGATCGAGGAGTTCTGGACGTCGAACATCAGCCCGACGTCGGGAATGAAGCGCAGCTCGGCGTGAGTGAGGTTCAGCTCCTCGATCTTCACACTGACGGCAGGGTATAGAGAGAGCAGAGTCAGAAAAAACGCAGAAGGGCTTTTGAATTGTTCCAGATTTTGCTTTTTTCCGTACTCGTTGATGGTGTACTGAAAGCGCCCCTCTTTGCCCTTCATCTCCGGCATGCTGATGTTACTCAGCTCCTCTTCCACAAACTTCTGAGTCTCATACTTCACTGAAAAGACCAGACAAACTGTTACTTCTTATACCATAATACTTTTGATGGAAACCAGTTCATAAACCAGTAACCCCCACCACCAGGTATAAGATACTAAGCTGTTTGTTCTGACTCCTCTGAACCATCAGAGCCACAAATGAGGACAAAATAAATAAAGACGCTCAGCTTAACCCTTTAAAGCCTGATCCAAAAATAAAACAAAACAGAAAATTATTTTATTTTTTTGTTTAGAGTCTTTATTTGGCCTTTTAACAAAATATGTAAAAAGAAAAAACAAAAATACATTTTTAATATTAATAATTTATTACTATGCGATAAGTCAAGATTATTTTTGGTGTAGTCTTCTGCCCCCTGTTATCAGGTGTATCTGATTGCGTACAATAGGATTTTAAGCAAAGTTTTTACCATTAAATTATGCAAAAGGTGTCAGACGCAAAACATTTCAGAAACAGTATGAATCAAATATGATACATTTGGCTTTACAGGGTTAAATCCAGATTATTTAGTCATAAACTGAGAGTCTTGGGGTTAAATCTGTATTATAGTTTGATTTTAGACATCGTCTTGGTAACCATGCACTCACACATCTCCAGTCCCTTGTCGGTGATTCGTATTTTACAGCCGGCCGGTTCAGCTGCCGCCATGATGGAGGCCAGACTCAGAAAGAGGAGCGGGAACAGGGGGGTCATCCTGAAAACAGCGAGCTGAGACAGAGGAGAAGGGTCAAAGGTCACGTACCTGATGAGAGTCTGGATTGCTGTTGAATGACCCCGTTATGTTTTCAGCCATGTTGTTTTCAGGGTTAGAGTTGGGAGGAGGCTTTAGTTCTTTGTTGTTTGTCCTCTTATTTTCACATCTATACAAGTTTATCAAACTCAAATTAATATGATGCAGGAGAATCTCTAAAGGAACGAGGTGAAACATGGAGATAAACCAGAGCCGGCAGCAGAACCAGAACCAGAACCTGATCACAACCAGAACCTGATCAAACCAGAACCTGCAGCAGAACCAAAACCTGCAGAAGAACCAGAACCAGCAGCAGAACCAGAACCTGCAGAAGAACCAGAACCTGATCAGAACCAGAACCTGCAGAAGAACCAAAAACAGCAGCAGAACCAGAACCTACTGATAAACCAGAACCTGCAGATAAACCAGAACCAGATCAAACCAGAAGCTGCAGCAGAACCAAAACCTGATCAAACCAGAACCAGCAGCAGAACCAGAACTTGCAGAAGAACCAAAACCTTCTGATAAACCAAAACCTGCAGCAGAACCAGATGCTGCAGCAGAACCAGAAACTGATTACAACCAGAACCTGCAGCAGAACCAAAACCAGCAGCAGAACCAGAACCTGATCAGAACCAGAACCTGATCACAACCAGAACTCGATCACAACCAAAACCTGCAGATAAACCAGAACCAGAACCTGATCAAAACAGAACCTGCAGCAGAACCAAAACCTGCCGATAAACCAGAACCTGCAGATAAACCAGAACCTGATCAGAACCAGAACCTGATCAGAACCAGAGTGTCTGGTCTCCTCTCTGAACTCCTTCCTCCTCCATCCTGAAGCTTCTCCAGATTCTGGAGGACGTCCCAAAGCTCTTCTCTGGATGTTTTGGTGCCTTTTGGGGAGGATCCGTCCTTCCATCAGAGCTGCTGGGGTTCAGTCCACTTCTGGTTCCTCTTTTCCTCTCTGTCTCCTTCTTTCCTTCATGGAGAACATTTCTGATTCAGCCACCAGGAGCCGATCACCTGGAGGTCCAGATCTCAGCTCCTGTTCAGA